CCCCCCCCTTTTATTTTGTTTGCGTTCGAAAGGTATTTTTCCTTTTCGAAAAAAAAAAAAAAAAAAAAAGAAGAAAAAGGAAAGGAGTTGCGATGTAACTGACATGATCGTTTGATTGCAGGTCAGCCTATCAATTTCGATTCTACTGTCGCTGACTGTGTTCTTCCTCCTGCTGGCCGAAATTATCCCGCCCACATCGCTCGTGGTACCGCTTCTCGGTAAATTCGTCCTTTTCACCATGATCCTAGACACCTTCAGGTATAACCATCGACCAAATATTTCTAAAACACTTTGCTCCACTAACGTAAGTTTGTGGAACTAACGTAAATGCAAATAAGATTCGTAAGATTGTAAACGAGTTGTGCAGCGAAGGATTGGAATATCCGTGTTTCTCATTTTTTTTTCTTTTTTTTTTCTTTTTTCGATTCGAACAATTTTATCTGGAAATCAGAATTTGACTCTCTGCGCGTTCGACGCGCTATTTTTCTCTCTTTTTTCTTTTTTTTTCTTTTCGTTTTCCAGCAAATGAGAAGTACGATGTAATGTAACGTCTATTTTCAGTATATGCGTAACCGTGGTAGTCCTCAATGTTCACTTCCGGTCGCCACAGACGCACGTGATGGCACCGTGGGTCCGTCGTGTTTTTATCCATGTTCTGCCAAGACTACTGGTGATGCGCAGGTATAATACGTCTTCGAAGAGATCCAATTACGATTCCAGGCAAGATATGATTTTACCGAGCATTTGGACCAGCCGTTGGGTCTATGCCAAGCAGCATTAGAACGTTCATTAGTGGCCTCGCACGTGACGTTAGTGTCACGTCGTGTCTGCAACCATTAGCACAATCCACCACTGTCTCTCTCTCTCTTTCTCTCTGTATTCTCTCTCTTTCCTTTTCTCTTTCTCTGTCCACTAAACTGGGATTGAATTTATTCATTTATTATTCACCGATCTCCAGTTTCGGCCAAGATGCAAACGAACAAATGCAATGAAGTTGAAATCGATATTCCATTGAGAACGAAAAGAATGACCGAAGAAGAACGAAGACAAAAAAAAAAAATGACAGACATGTGATATTCGAAATTGATATATTGAAGTCAAACTGAAAAGACTTGAGAGCTGATCATCAGGAGGAAGAGATTTGCACAAGGGCAGGGATTGAAAATTTGCCCGTTCGATCCGTTCATCTCGTTCGAACGATTCCGAGTCCATTGCACATTAGTCACTGTAAATGCAATAGCCACGGTTGCTCGACATCTCCACACGACGTTATGCACAGTTCAGCACGTTGTGCAGCACCTTGTTGAAACTTTCTGTCTACACTTACTTGCGTACAGCCGTAACGTTCATCGAGTAATTGACTCGATTCTCTAATAAATCACCGTGTGTCCACCGACACCGATGCTTGACACACATTTTGCCTTACGACAATCATATATCATTCCATTAATTGTAATAGCATAGAGCGTAGTTTCACGAGCTTGAAAGTGAACATATTCCATTGTTACAATAGTGAGATTCAAACAAACCAAAAAAAAAAAGAGCTTGTAAATACAAACTACATTGTAAATGCATATACGAGCCATTTAAATTAGTTTTTACAATTTCCTATATGCTTGTTAATACTTTACTGATATAGTCTCAAGCCTAAAAGATAGTTAAAAAAGTTGCAATATACTTTCAATTATATTTTACACGACATTGCTGGGCCTTTAAATTAGTTTTTACAATTTCCTATAGCGACTGCTTGTTAATACTTTACTAATATAGTAAAGCCTAAAAGATGGTTAAAGATAGTTAAAAAAGTTGCAATATACTTTCAATTACATTTTACACGACATTGTTGGGCCCTTAAATTAGTTTTTCAATTTCCTATGGCGACTTTACTGATATAGTAAAGTTTAAAAGATAGTTAAAGATAGTTAAAAAAGTTGCAATATACTTTCAATTACATTTTACACGACATTGTTGGGCCTTTAAATTAATTTTTACAATTTCCTATGGCGACTTTACTGATATAGTAAAGTTTAAAAGATAGTTAAAAAAGTTGCAATATACTTTCAATTACATTTTACACGACATTTTTGGGCCTTTAAATTAGTTTTTACAATTTCCTATGGCGACTTTACTGATATAGTAAAGTTTAAAAGACAGTTAAAGATAGTTAAAAAAGTTGCAATATATTTTCAATTACATTTTACACAACATTGTTAGGTCTTTAAATTGTTTGATAGTGTAATTATACTCTTCTGTTTGGCAGGCCGCAGTACCAGATAGACAAACGTAGCATGAGTGGCCATCACGGCCAACGTGTGATGGTCAGAACGTGCAACGGCCTCGAGTTACGAGACCCGTCTCTCTTTGTAGAGACCTCGGCCTCGGAGCTGGTCGAGTCCTCCGTTTTGTTCCCGAGTCTCGATTCGCGGGACGAATTACACCCTCGGTACGTAAACCTCTTAATCGGCAATCAACGACTCGAAAAACAGCTCGCAGAGGTGAAACATCTTTTTAATCTTCTTCTTTGTATTATCACATTAACTTCTTTCAACTATTGATATTAATTCCGTGGAAGGCAAAGTCATACTTTTTGTAGGTAACACAGAGAAACAGATGAGGGATATTTTAACTAAAATTGTCATTTGTCATAGAAAAATGGGAGAGAAAGAAACGAAATGTGTGATGATGATTATTAGGGAATTAGAAGCTGTGAATTTAGGAAGCGCGTGTCGCATTCACGGTTCACCAGCGGCCACGGCTGCTCCTCCACCGCAACTGCCGACCGAGGAGAGCGTGGACGCTCTCTGCAACACTCTTCATCATTGGCATCACTGCCCAGAACTGTACAAGGCTATCGAAGGGATCCGTTTCATCGCTGACCATACGAAGAGGGAAGAGGACTCTACCAGAGTACGCAGAAAAAGCTTTGCCTTTACTTCATCGTCTAACGAACGCTAAGACAATACGTCACCTAATGTGTTAATCAACTAATTATGTTAATGTCATTAACTGTCACTAATTGTCAATCAACTGTGTTCAACAGGTCAAGGAAGATTGGAAGTACGTCGCGATGGTGCTTGACAGGCTATTCCTGTGGATTTTTACACTAGCTGTGTTCGTTGGCACGGCAGGCATCATCCTGCAGGCACCAACGCTGTACGACGATCGCACGCCCATCGACGTGCGGCTGTCCGAGATCGCTTCCACCACTGCCAAGCCACAAATCTTCACAAGCCTCTGAGAGACAATTTGTTCAATTTCGTTACCCTCACGCATCGCTCACGTGCGTTACACACCGTACATACGTATACAATGTACTACGCAACAACGTAAGAACTAAAACTATGAAACTATGAGTTGCAAGCATTGGACATCCCCCATGGGACATTCACATTTGCGAACGATACATTCACTGTGCTGTCAATCATTCCATGATGGTACTTATAGGTTGTACGGAAAGTCTGTTAGCTGTTAAATCGACATCGATGACCTTCGATCGCCATTTTGCTAGATCCGAAGGGGCCTGGTAATCTAGTCCTATCATCGTAATATACTTTCATATACTTTCGTCGCTTGACTTGATATCGGATCGACTCGTTTGATCGGGTGTTAGTTGTTTCATTCTCGCGGATTCAGGCGATCGTTCGTTTTTATCGAGAGGGGAGATTGATTGATTGGTTTGTAATAACGATAACGATCAAGTATGTATGTACGTTTCGAGTAAGATACATTGGCAAACGTGTCCCCCAGGTGTTGTTCGATCTCATTCGAATTGAAACAGAGGTTTCCCTCGTCCTTGGCGTAAAACGACTGAAAGACTGAAGCCTCGGTGAATGAAAGGGAAAGAGAGTCTTCGACTTTTCGGCGTCGTGTTGCACGACTGGCGGCCAATTAACTGCGAACACAGTTCCCTGCTCAAGGCGAGGATTTCTCGAATCATACGCACATCAACGATCAGAATACGCTAGGAATAAACGCTAATGAACATGAACGGATATTATAGACGAGACGGGAGCGAGGTGTAAATTGTCATTAAATGTATTTCTTGGCACCTGGTAGCACTCTCTGGAAGTGTCGCGTCTCCAAACGACGACCACGACACGTTTTTCTGTTCTGTTACCAACGGTGAAAACATACATGAACAAACACGAGAATGCGAGAGGCAAGAAATATATTTTTGCATGGAGCCGTGCGTTGAAAGCAAACGGTTTTATTATACGCGAGGTGATCAAGCTGTCGAGGACGTGTACGCAACGTAGAATTAAAATACGGAGAGACGTAAAAGGGGCTCGATTTTATGCCAGTTGCATAATTGTGATTCTTCAACGGTGTAAATTACATTCGAGAACAACAGTCATAACATTAATTCATTATTTAATTGTTGAAAGGGACACTGAATGTTCCCTTGAAGGACACATTTTTTTTTTTTTTTGCCATTCGATCGCATTGAGGTGTTGTCGTGTTTCGATTCGCGAGGAAAAACGAAAGAGTGGGACCGACGAATGTTGCATTTTAGACACGACGTAGTTTCGAATCGATCTAAAAAAAAAAAAAAGAAAGCGGGAAACGATCAACGACGAACCAAAGCGGTCGTAGAAATTCTGGAAAGAAGAAAAAGAGAGAAAAAAGGGAAGGATCACAATCGTTGATGTAGGTGGCATGGAATTCGATGAATGCTTGTTGCAGACTCAGGAAGAAAGAGAGAGAAGAAACAATGAGAAAAGAATATTGAACATTTTCCAAAGTTTACATCGAGCCTGTAACAGTGGGGCCATATTTTCACAAACTAAAAAAAAAAAAAAAATAATAAAAAATAAATAAATAAATAAATAAAAACGGGGAGGGGGGAAAAAAAGAATAGAGAACAAAGCCGCGAGTGTCTCTCTATAGTTGTGTGAAGCTGTAAATTCTAAATATCTGTATCCGCATACGGTGTGCAAAAAAATGGCGTGTAGAGAAGAGAAAGAAAGCGTCGGGCCTAAGAAAGTTTCACCGACTCAACTTTTATTGCTCATAATAACGTAATATGTTCGTAATAAGATACACTTTCGTAATTACGTTCGTTCCAGCATCACCGACGAACCGTGCGAGACGTTTATTAGACGTAATATTAACGTAGCGTGCATGAGGCGACGCAGGAGAGCATGGTGAAATGCACGAAGGGAGAAAAGAAAGAATATGTAATGTGAAAAAACGTTGCAACTGTTTATTATTGCAATCGCGTTCCGAATAATTTAATTGTCTTCCTAAGCTAACGAAAAAAAATTAATGACTTACTTTCGATGGGCAACAGTCACGCGTTCCCTGCTTCGCTGTTGCTCCCTCTCAATGAACACGCGAGAAACAAACGAAAAGAAAGAAAGAAAGAAAGAAAGAAAAAAAGAAGAGGATGATTGCAAAAAAAGGGTGGAAAATAAGTAGAGCCGAGTAATTGGTAAAATTACTAGTTAATAATTATATATATATATATATATATGTATGTATGTATGTATGTATATATATAAGTATATATGAATAGCCAGGACTTCTACGTCTGAAAGAACGAAGCAACGATCCGCTGCTTAAAAATCCTTTTCGACGAGATTCTCTGTTTTGGCTGCTGATCGTAGACTTTTCAACCAGTCCTACATTTGAAAAAAAAAAAAAAAAAAGAAAACAACCTCGGCTCGTTCGTGTGTGTATCACGACGAACCACAAATGCCTGCCACCAGTAGTCGACAGAGACACACTGAGAAGAAAGAAGAACATTTTGACAATTTTGTATGCACTACTCCGAGAAAAACTAATCAATGAATTACTCGACGATACAAATTCTTCTAGCAAGTTTCATCGTTATTATCGTTTGTAATATGCGAGAGCTTCTTACGGAAACGATAAAGTTAGGGAGAAAAGATGTTTCGAGGAAAAACGAAGAAACAGGAAATTAGCTTGTGGTTTGCGCGGTCATCGCCTATAGATATGGATTTTACATGTGGATCCTGTGTTTATTAATACTTTTTTATTTTAATTGTTTGTCATTCGAAAGAGAGAGAGCGAGAAAGAGAGATAGAGAGAGAGCGTGAAAGCGTGAATGTGTAAAAAATATTAATGAAACAAAAAACAAAAAGTAGAAAAAAAGGAAAAGAGAAACTGATTATACGTTATTACGAGGAAGTAAGCGCAGTGATAGTTACTCAACGTAAGTTACAAAACAATTTAACAATATATATATATATATACATATATATATATATATATTATATATATATATATATACATATATATATATTATATATAAATATAAATATTATAAATAACCATTACCACACACGATAAAAGTAATATGGCAAGATATTTTGTGAGTGTGTCTATAAGTCTCGATTATAAAACCTACGTAAATTAAGCAGACAGTTTATCTTCATTCACGAGATCGAAGATGTTGTTCCCATAGAGGAAGAGATTTTATAAATGGTGTGTTGAACTTTTAACGGTCGTCATTCACATGAAATGGCCTTATATTCAGCACTCGGACTCACAACGCATTCAGGGAGAGAAGTGTTGCTATATTAAATGTAGTTTTACTCGTCGGATTGTGCGTAGCGCATAATCAATCAACCTATTGATTGAATGTGTGATCATCGATTATGTACTTTCACTTTATACGTGATTTTCATTTGTTAAATACGGAACAATGTATTCATTCCTCGAATGAATTGTCAGAATAGCGACAAATTTAATTTTTAACTATTAGTACTTAAATACGTTCTCTTTTTAAACAAAAATATTTCTTGCTTGAGATGTTACAGTAAGGCATCGGGCTTGTATATTTCAAGTTAAGTGTCAAATGAGATAGTGATCTATAAAAGAAATGTGGAACTTTAGTTTTTCATATTTTTTTAGTAAAATTTCGCAACACTATTTTGATACCGCAAAAGATCAAGTTTAATAAATCCACAAGTAATGATTTCCAAACAATAGGATATAGAAAAACTAACTATGTTTAAGAAACTGAGGTGTAACTTTGAAAATGTCTTGTAAATAAAGTATCAACACCTTGGTTCTTGTAACTTCTACTTTTCTGTAATCTTAGACTGTTTGAAAATGATTTTATATTAATTCAATGATACACTATTTTGTCTTCTTTAAAAACCACAGATTTTAAATTAAAAAATCCATTGTATTTAGCAACTATTTCATATGACACTCAATTTGCGTCGTCCTATCCAGTATCCATTTGCAAATGAAAAAAAAAAATTTTTTTAATTATATTGAAAAGCAAACATGTATTTGCATATTTGGAAAAAGAATAGAAACTCCCTTCAGATATTGATATGAAAATACGGTCGCTTGAATAATTTTATTATTAATTGTTGTCAAGTTGAAAAGAGTGTATTATGCATTTGTATAATACAATATTTTATGTATAAGTTTCTAAACTGAATATTTTAACAATTTTTAGGAATACGATATTATCAAGGCATACAACGCTGCCGGTATATTGAATACAATTTTATTCGAATATTCGTTTATAATATTTTTAATTGAACTGTATAACATCGTGGAACAATTCAGCCTAAATACATGTACTATATTTTATTGACACAGTCCAAAATGATCGGAAATAAAACTTTATATATCTAGGAACAACGTGTCATTTAAATAATACTTTCTTTCTAGTAAAATACGCACAGGAACAAGATGCTCTAGTTTGTTTCAATAACATTTAAGTTTATATGCTCAAACTTTAACTTTACATAATCTATTTTGTGTGTGTTTATATATAATAATAATCTTTTTTCCCTTAAATTTCTGTATAAATAATTCTAAATACCAACAAAATAATTTGAAAGACAACTATTATTTCTTCTTGTACTTCAATTAAAGAAGTTGCAGTTATTGAATATCAGATTAAAAAATTATAAATGATCCTTTTACATTCCTGGATCAGGATTTACATTCTGCAATTCTATTTACATTTATATACAAACAGAAAATTATGTATTTTTTTATATTTTAAATAAAAGAAAAACTCAAGCATCGAATATCATTTAGAATATAATTTGTCTTTAGAATCGTTTAGAGTATAACTTGCCTTGAGAATATTGAGTTGCTTTCCAAATAACAATTTTATTGTTTTAAGATGTGTTGCTTTGTGTCACAGTCTTAAATTTTAGTTTCTGCTATAGATAAAAGATTCGTTTATCACATTATCGTCTATTATCATATATATATATATACCTCGCAACATCGATTTCATATGAATGAAGGCAATATTAATAGCAAATAATTATTAAGGCGAGTATAAATACTATCGTTATTAAGGCATTCTTTGTCAAAATATCGTGCCTGTAGCTTAATATTTAAAAAGTAAATGATAAAATTGTAAAAGTAGCAGTTGCATTATCATAACACTTTAAATTATTTCTTAAATAAACATTCAATTTATATTAAATTATTATTCGATAATAATCATTAAAAACCTAAATTTAAATTTATAATTAAGATAATGGCATAATTTTTTAAGTACTCGTGCTTGTATAAATATAAACAAAATTCAATTCTAACGTCATTAAAAAATTTAATTAATCTCGCAAGTCTTAAGAGAGATATCGTTATTTGCGAAACGCATCCTTAATTTGTAAGTATATAAATAACAGAATTTTCTACGTAAATAGGTGTATATCTATAAAATTCTTAAATAAACTTGATTTTTATGTTAAAAAGTTAAGAGATTTTGTGCATGCTTTTGTTTCTTTAACATTTTTCATTAAACTTTATAAATGGAGTTTGTAATTGATGATTCGCGAACCATCTAAATAATTTATTCATTTTCAATTTGATTATATTGTTTTATAATCTCATCTTTTTGTTCTTCAGTTATCTCTTTTGTTCTCTCTGTTTCAATTAATTTTCCTTCTATAAAATTATCCTCTGACATAGAATCATTTTCCTTTGTTTGTCGAATCTTTTTAATTTTTTTCTTAATAGCCATAGCACCTAATTCCATTTGCAAAATCACAATTAATATCGCATAATAGTGCATAAATATTTCGTTTGAATGTACTTACAGAACAGAGTCTGCCAAAGTTCAGCCCTTTTTGATGTTTTGTTAACTAACTTTTTTAAAGATTCTCTATGCCGTTTTTGTATTCCTGCCAGTTCAATCGCTTCCCGTGTTGGCGAGGGAAATAAACAAATTTCTAGCCAATGTGTAGCTCTCGCACATCCTATAAATCTGAACCATACCTAAAAATAACATTAAAAAACACATTGTTAAAATAAAGTAAATACTGTCATAAATAAATTCATAATAAGCTATTTAACAAAATTACAGAATCTAGGCACTCTACTATGAACCACAGCCACAAGCCAAGCTGTGCTTTTGTGTGTTCCATATTTTCCGGCCATAACATCAACTTTGGCACGAATAATACATATAAGTAAATCCTGAAACAAACACGTATCATGAAGATGTTACGATTAAAAGTACATGAAATTTTTAATATACCGACCAACTAAGGCAATGAAGGTAAAAAAATAATTTGGACAACTTTCTTCCAGCATTGTGAGAGGCGCATAATAAGATTCTACAAATATTTATTATAATAGTATCAATCGCCTTGTAGAATAGAAAAGTGCTCACTACTGTACACCATCTATAAAGAAAATTGTAAAAGATCATACAATAAAATCAGCATTATTGAAATTTATTTAAAAATCAAGTTGTAATGTCAGTACGTTGTGAAGTTATATAAAGGATCAAGCATATGCTAAATGTTAAGATAGAAGCCGCTTTACTTTTCTTGGTATGGGTTCATGATGAAAGACACAAACAACAAATTGACCCAGCCTTTTATCCAAGCTCCGTGATATAGGATTTCTATTCCTGCCCGATGAAAGTAAAAGCTTTTATGTAGAATGACACCCAGCTCCTCGTGTATCACCTCCCGTCCTCCAGTGAAGAAGCTTAATATTTTAATGTTTGGTGACTTTAGATAACAAATACTGCCAAAGCAAAATCCACATTCCCATACAGCTTTGATTATTCTGTTTCTCTGCATCAATGGAATGCGCATACGTCGAAGTAACGACTGTGTTAATAAATGAAAATTATCAAATGTACAGTCATTAGGCTCTGTTATCCTTTATCTGCACTCTTTGTAAATAAATGTCCTCCCCCCCCCCCAAAAAAAAGAAAGAAATAACGGACAAGTTCATTAATTGACACGCTAACACGGTAACGTGTAGAGGTATAAAATAAAATATTGAAACTTACATTAAGGCACTTTTCGTACATAAAATACAAAACAACCCAAAACATAATTAAATATCCGAGCAGCACATCGGACCTTTTGATTCTCGTGTCATTTATAGGCTGCACGTTGAACGTTTCTTTATCCCATAAATTCGGAACTTTCGGAGTAAACTGAAAAATCTCGAGGAACGAGCACAGACCGATCATGCAACTGCTTGCTATTTCTTCCAACATTTTAAGTCCTTCGAATCACAATAACTAAAATTGATTAAACAAAGACTTATATCCGAAATTATGTATCCCTACTTCTAATTATCCTCACGAATAAATTTGATCCAAATTTCGAGCGTGGCTTGCGAGAAATTAAAAATTCTTCGACCTAATGTAATGTGAAATGATTAATTCTGCTATCTCACCACTATGTGGCGCTACTATTTCAGCGACCATATTTTCACCTGCAAAAAAANAAAAAAAAAAAAAGAAAACAGAAAGAAAATTAAGAGTTAACTGCATCTTTATGATTAGATTCTCAGTTCTCTTGCTACATACCACTTTAAAATACGTATGCACAAAAATTTTACAAATTGTAATCAAACGACCTCCAATTATGAAAATTTAAAATTATAATTAAGAAAAACAAATCATTCCCAACAATTGTTTTACAATTATTCTTTTTCCATAAATAAATAAGTTTACCTATTTCGAAAATACATTTAACTCGGGATTACTCACGTGGGGGTCTAGTGCCGGGATGTACCTGCACTAGACCCCCAGGTGGGTAATCCCGGGTTAAAAAAGATACTTGTACATATATATATATATATATATTTTTTAATATGATATATCTTTATTGTGTAATTACCATACACATTAAGCTATAATGAAGTTTCACAAACTATCATTTTGCGTCCTAAACATAACTAATATTATTTTATATATAAAGCGAAGGTTTCGTATAATTTAAGATCTCGACAAATTTATTTCTTACTAGTAAATCAGTGATACGAAATTATTGCGCTTGGACGTTTGCAGTATTATATTCCGGTGACCAATGAAGATGTGTTGTGAAGCAAAATAAAGACATCTGTTTTTAGAGAAATTATAGCTAACATTTAAATAACGTAAGATATTTAAAATTGATAAATTTCATTGCTTATGCAAGCAACAATTCTGATGTTTCATTATATCATCTAATATTCGATCGCAAGTTACATTCGTTGAATATTGGCGAAATAATGTAAAATTATTCACGGAAGTCACGATACCTTAGCAACATTAAAATGTTGTAGGATCTTGCAAAACATGATTCTGCTTTCGAAACTTTTATAAGCATAATGCTCGTTTTAATACTAGACAATATAATGAAGCAAAAATTGATTAACACTTGTACAGAGCAACAAAGTTACTACGGTATACATAATACATATTATGCATACTACTAAAAGTACAAGTAAACTTGTTTATAATGTATATTACGTTTACAGAAACATATACGTAAAAATTGTGAAGTGCTGAAAGTAACGTTATAAAAATGTGTTTGGCATATCACTTACATTTACACTTGTAAAGACAACTTTAGATACATAGAATAAGTTCGAAAGATAATGGTAACCAAAATTTAATTGATTTTTCGTATGTCAAATATAATACGTACTCAAAGCTCCGAAAATATATCGCAAACCTAAGACATTTCATTATAAACATTACATATTTGTTGAATGAGTGGATTGAAAAATATTCATCTAACTAACACATACTTCCCCACTTACAGAAAACAAAATCATGGATGACGAACGGACTAATTAAAATCGCGAATCATTCCAACTAAATTAACTGTCTTCAGTCCAATATTATAATCTATTTACTGACACGACCGATAATATCCCTCTATTGTACGAATAAAGATCTGATTAAACAAATTGACGATTCTTTGCACTAACTAGTTGGTGGCGGTGGTGGAGGTGGTTGTGCCAATAATGTAGGTAAAGTATTGAGATCAATGCCAGGAGGAGCTGGCGTTTGTTGTTGAGGTGGCGGAGGAACAGGAGCTGCTGGCGGCCATCCACCCATCTGTTGCGGTTGCCATCCTGGAAATCCTGGTGGTGGAGCAGTTCCCGGTGGAGGTGGACGCATTGGCCCTTGTTGACCTTGCTGCCATGGCGGTATACCCATTCCAGGTGGTGGAATTTGTGTCGGTGGCATTTGTCCTGGTGGCGGTGGTTGATTATTTCCAGCCATCCAAGGCATCAGTGGTGGAATATTTGGTTGAGATGTAGAGCCAGGCGGCGGAGGAGGTGGTTGCATCACACCAGGTGGCGGAGGCATACTAACTGGAGGTTGCCACTGCATGTTCATTCCATTCATGTTGTTCACTTCTCCTTGACTCCATGGTGGCGGAGCCATTCCTGGTGGAGGCATCATTGGACCACCTTGCATCATTTGTGGCGGTGGATGTGCAGGTGCTGCCATTAAAGCACGAGGTGCTTGTTGTCTAAACAGAATTAAATGATGGTTATTACAGATATATACATATGTATACGTTTCGTATAAAAAAAAAATTTAACCTATCAAAGAAAAGAAATAAATAGAATTTACCTATCAAAAAGACCAGGATAATTGGGATTTGGATTTGGTTGACGCGGTTGTCCGGTTTTAGATCGATCAGGTGGCGGACCTTCACCCAATTCTGCCATAAGGGACATATATTCTTCGTCTATTTTGGCTTTATCTCCACCTGGTCCCATTCCTCCCATACCTGCGGCAGCGGGTCCACCCTGCCCGGGTCTCTTAGATCTACAATCGCGTGCAATATGGCCTGCTCCACCGCAACTCGAGCATACTATATTATTTGTTACGTTGGGTTTATCTGGACACTGTAACAGTTGAAATAAGAATTAATCTATTTGTAAACATTAAGATATTATTGATATTTGAACGTCAATATACTGACCAGCCATGATTTATGATCAGATGCACCGCAATTAGTACAACGTGGTCCATCATTTTCGCGTAATGTTCCATTCAATAAAGCCAATTCCCTAAGTTGATTGCGTCGTAAATCGTTTTGTCCTTCGGGTACTTCAACACCTTGTCGTATAATTTCGTGAATCTATTGAAAAAAATACTTTAATAATACAATTACGTTGATTGTATATATTGCTAAAAATGCTACATACTCTTTCTACAGCCTTCTTTACGGCATCCAAATTGTTAGCAGTAATATATGCATGCAAAGGTTCATCTTCACCAGGTAAAGGTTGTCCATCTTTCCTTCCAACTTTTCCTTCTTTTACAGAACCTTTACCGCGAATTATTATTTTTGCTCCAGTTTCCTTTTCCATTGCTGTAATATTAAAACAGGCAACAGTAGTACATAATCTGCATAAAATTTATATATTTTATGAATATCTTAAGTTATTTTCACATACATTTCAATGTATTCCCACGTGGACCAATTAAAAGGCCTACAAAATTAATATCTGGATGTTCTTCTTGAGGAATCATTACTTTATCATGTACTCGTATTATTGGTGGCCTAAAAATAATATTTTAAATGCAGCTCATATAATTTTAAATATGCGTAAAAAATATATATATTTTTTTAATTACTTATAATCTGGTGGAGGTTTGAATTCTGGATTAATTTTAAGAATCTTCTGAATAAGATTGTGACGTTCTTCCTCCAATTTACGTCTAGTTCGATATTCTCTTGTATTCAACCGTTTACCATCGCTACTATATATGGGTTCTGGAGATGGAGATCTGCAAAATAAAAAAAAAAATTTTGTCAAGAAACAAAGTTTGCATTAAGATGTACTAGCATACAAGCAACCTGATCCTACTATGATTGTGTGATTAAGTGAGAAAAGAACTGCTGATTAGCAGAAAGTTGGAAACTGAGATAACATTTTAATTGATTTTCAAAGTTATTAGGCTTTAGTCATAAATCTTTTCTTAACATATATTCCTTCCTTCTCTTTTTAACAAATAAAGTAGATTCTGACCATGTTGGAAAATTGAAAGTATTGCTAAACATAACATATTTCCTTGAATAAATCAAATGTAAGTTTTTATATTAAAAAACTGAAATAAAAATTAAAAAGATCTATTAAGTACATCCCTGTATAAATCATGTATGAACATTTTCTTAATATTACGTATCTAATATTTTCGCTAAAGGTGAAATAATGTGCTAAAAAAGATAATATAAAATTTTAAGAGAGTTAATTGCTACTTATGTTTAAAGGACATATGTATCTGTTAATTTTAAACCAAATTTGATAAAGGCATAAAATAGATGCAAAGATTCCTATTGATAAAATTGTTAATTGTTGTAAAATATTACACTTGTATAGATTTAAGGAAAGATTAGTTTTTGAAGTTTTCCAACAGTGTCAAAATGTTAAAATAAAGAATAAAAAATTAAATATTGTTAAATATAACATTCCTATTAGTCTATTCAGTAGGTAACCACTGGAAGACTGCGCGTTTGTGCACGGCAGAAATCGGTATGATGTCAGCTGCTAAGATAGATCCTGTGATTATTAGGAAATAATTTTTTTGGGTTAGTCAATAATAGTTTGTATATCTTACTATATTGTATAATACTAATGAAACACAATGATATAAAATAATGGTTCCAGCTAAAATCAGAAAAGTTAAACCTATTGGAGTAAATTAATTTATTAGAAAAATTAACGTGTGTTTATTTAAGTTGTACCTGAAAGTAACGTAATATTGATCTTTACAGTATTATGCTTATATTAGCAATTATAATTTTATGAATTTTATCATTTGCCTGAAATCTCTCATTAAGTTGTGATTAAAGTTAAAAATCTATTTTAGTTAATTAACGATAAATGTTCCTGTGGCATTGCGATATTAACCAGATATAAAATGCCGTGCAAATCACGGCAGCCTAATAAAAGTGTCTATTAAGGTGCCCTATGCACAAAATTTTCATTATCCTACTAAAAGAACCAATTGATATTGAACAACTTGCAATGGTGCGTATAATAATGATAAATACAGCCTATTAACTTCAATAAAACAGTCTGCATAGGAACACCTCTGAATTTCCCTACATGTGCAAAAATATAACTATTTAAAAAGATATATGGACTAGAATACCCACTGTGTGTTAAACACTGCTACTATGATCACTATTTGATCTATACATCTAATTGTATCAAATGTTACATGTCAAATGTTATTATTGACGTATAAAGAATTTATAAAATTTTTATTTTCAAAACAGACCAAGTATGTTTAAAACAAAAACATATATTTTTTTTATATTTAAGTATTAATACTAATATATTGTCACTTTAATTATTGCCCCAAATTATTTCTGTTAGATTTACTAACCAAGAGTTTTGTAGCAGTGTTTAATAAAAAATGAATTAGTAAAAGAAATTGTTTAGGGCAAACCAATATTATCAAAATTCATCTTCTGTGCTGCGTGGTGGCTTTAATCAAGCCCAATCTTTTCAAACAGACATCAGTATCCCACACTAACTGTATTGGAGCCATATCATAAGGCCCCTGTATTTATGGGCTGCTGAATGGTCAGTAGATAGGTATTGTAGATATGTTATGGTCATTTTTGGTATGTAAGTTTCGTTCAAACCTTTCCTCTGGATTAAGTGGAATTCCAAGGTCTCCAGTACGTAGCTTCCTGCTGATTTCCTCAATCTGCAGCTGAACTGTAAACCAACGGGTTAGAGGGGGCGGAAACCCCAACAGTTAGATATTGCCAATTTGCTATAACCATATACATTCTATAATGTAAGCATGTCTCAAAAGTGTAGAATATTCACCTAAGTATAATATTTTGTAAAATCTTCTAAATTCTCTCTTTAATAAGTTCTTACTTCTCTCTCAGTTAATTACGAATATATCAACAATTTTGCTCGTGATTTATTAAATGTAAATGAGATTGAGTTTTTTAGAAACATATGAGAAACAAAACTAACAGTAACTTCAACGTGATTAATTTAGACTGTCTAGGAAATTTGATAACTCGATATTCATCATTCAGCAAAATTGGCAATTCCTATTGCCAAACTCGTTGAAAGTACTTAAAAGTGCAATTACCTCTGGCAACTATTTTTATACATACATACTTACATCTTTTATTGTACTACAAAATTAAATCTTAGAAATTTGTACGCAGAAGCATGATTCTTGAATCATATCCTGCTCATATATGTGTGTGTATAATACGTAATTAAATAAAAATGATGACTAAAATATAGAAAATAAACTTACAGAGGTACGCTTTCTCCTGTTCAGGAGTCAGGTTTGTTGGTAGAACTGTAGGCATGCCTGGTATAAAAGTTTTGTCATGTTCACTACCGCTCCATCTAGTCTTTCTCCTCTTCCTGCGTTCCTCTTTTGTTTCTTTTTCCTGTTTACCATCATCTAAAAGATGTATATAAACCCAATGTGTACACTTAAAAATTTGATTCTAAATAAATTTAATTTCCTTTGTGAATATTCTTAAAATCTAAACAAAATCATTTGTTAGACAATATACAAGATATCCAGAACTTAAACAGCTAAAGTGTACAAGCCTTATTAACACATAAAAAAAAGAAAAAAATGTTATATAAAGTTTGTCAGAAAACTTCTTGTTACAGACTTATAAACAAATATTGTATGTATGAAATAAGTAGCTACGCATTTTTCTTCCATTTAATTTATACTTACGGAGTACTTTAAAACAAAAAATTTGTTCAACAAAAGTAACTTTACATGGAGAACTAGGACAAAGTATTAAAAACCTGATTTTATTGAAACTTAGTAAAATCCTCAGGAACTTTGTAGTATAATTAATTCTATTATTTACTGATATCAAGCTTGATGAAATAAAAACTTATTTCTGATGATATTACAATTAATGAAGAAGCACATATATTTAACAATGTTGTCTGCATACTATAATGAAAAACACATTGCTACTAACTTAAATTTTTATTCATAACTCCATAACAAAGCATTTGGTGCTCAATTTTGTATAATTTATACATTTTTTTTCTTCTTTTTATATAACTCAAACAAGAAAAAAACCAACAACTAAAAACAACATAACAGACACACAGGACTAAAATATGTAAAATCATACGACCAAAGATGAGATTTCCTATAAATGTTCACATTATTTCTTATATGTATTATGTACCAATATATCAAAAAAATATGCTCATAAATGATTTTCAGATGTCTAAATTTTTTTTTACGTTAAATACCAATATATCAGAAAAATATGCTTCTAAATGCTTCTCAGATGTCCAAGCTATTTCTTATAAGAAATCCTACCTTAGACAAATTGCGCATGAGAAACCAGGTCGCGTGACGCTAGAATGAAATCAATGTGGCGTAATAAGGATATCAATAATCGGACATACTTTCCGCTTCGCGTTTCCTCGTGTTATTCGCCGTGGGATTAGAATTGGAGTTAAGCTGCGTTCCGTTAGCAATTGCTGCGCTCACCGCGGCAGCTGCTGCAGCCGCAGCAGCAGCCGCGTTCGCAGTCGCAGCATTTTGTTGGGCGTTTTGTAAATAACTCGGGTTCAACAATGATGTGAAATTCCGTGACTGATTCATAACGTAGAGTTAGCCAGGGACGTACAACACGCCGGGACACGTTGTATGCGCAGTGGCACACGATTGTTTAACCAAAATCACAGAACGTTCGTACACTAGGAAAATGGCGGCATTCAACTGACGGACACCTTTGCCTCTTTCATGGGCGTACCGGAGATGCTGTCTTTCCGGACAGGATTAATGAAGGATATCCTCGCCACTTCGCTTTGATGAGTTTCGGAACACGTTCGAGTCTCGCACGAAATAAGACGTTAGAAGAAACGAAAGAACGTCTCGAATTGTCACGTAAATTTCTTAAATTACAGGTAAACGCGATCTTATTCGCGCTCTCGATTAAACAAGAAGATTCAAAGACGATATTGCCGATCTCCAGAAATCGTTTCCACACGTTCTCAAACCAATATGAAAGCAGGGAGCAGCGTGTTTGTTGCGGTTCAAGGCGGTTCTCAATAATCAGTCGAGATTTTTTGATTGGCTCGAGGTTAATACGTCATCAATCGAAATATTTTCCGGAAGCTATATACACCTGAATACGATGTATTTATTATTTCTTATTGGTTAGCTAACGCGGATAATCATTCGCAGTTGTGTCTTGTTAGACCATTGGTCGTAAGGCTACCGATGTATCGAAGTACCAATTCTCCGAATCCAAATTTTAATTTCAGCTTGGCGTTACGGCAACCGATCGCATGCAGAGACCTGAATTAAGACCTGCGACGAGTTTCGCACAGGTTGGATAGCTTGTGTATCGGTTAAGATACGAGATACGTCGAACGATATATCCGGCTTTATTCAATCACAACAAACGTTGTCAGACGCTTCGAAACGTGATGTAACGTTATGTGTATAACGTCGGAACGTATTGATACCGGCGTTGGGACATTGTCAGTTTCACCATACGATCGTCATGAACGCTGTTTACGCCTGATCGGCTGACAGCTGTTCAAGACATCAGTGTGATGTGCACTGGATTGTTTTTTACGAGCATCGACATAGTATTTTCTGGTCATGTAAGGTTTCTCATGCGATGAACGATGAAACTACTGCGTGGTTACAGCGCGTCGGAACGTGAAAGTGCAACAGCGTAATTCTCTCGTACATTTTGAATGTATTCCCCTATCACCTTCGAGTGCAAAGTTACAGAACAGTTCGCGGTATAATGGCAGCTCACAAGACAGGCGGGCAAAGTGCTCGAAAGAAAGTGCAGGTAACTTGTCCATGATGTTTTCCTTTTCCTCTGTCGAGGAGGAACGTGCGTCGTTGCTTTTCAAAACGTAGTTTCTTTCAGACTCGGCTCTTTCAGTTCTTCGCTGTCTCGCTGATCAAAATCGTTGCCCCGTCTGTTAAAATAGCCACATGATGATGCACGGAATAGTAAAATCGCGATTGATCTATGATATTTTTGTTATCTGTCGTTTGATGCTATATGTAGTTATTGATTGATTTCATAATTTTCTTATAAAAACTTCGAGAGCCCGCGAGTCACGTAATAACTAATGTGCGATGCGGCACGAATGACATCGTAAATGAATTTTTCTGTTTGTAAACTTTCAGTTGATGTTACTCGATTGATGAAATTTGTTAATGAAACCTACGAAAAAGTTTCTTGAAACCGTACTCAGTGCGTATCGAATGATAATTACTTTGTTATTTTGTGTATTTGATAAAGGTGTCTATGGTTATAAGAGACGAGGTGGAAAAGAAACATAGAGCTGGAGTCAATTCATTGCAATATGATCCAGCTTTGCATAGGCTTTACTCCGCAGGTAGGGACAGCATTATAAGGATATGGAATTGCAAAAATATGAAGGACCCGTATATTCAATCAATGGAGCATCATACAGATTGGGTCAATGATATAGTATTATGTTGCGGTGGGAAAAATTGTACGTACCTTTTGTTACATTTCTAAATCAATATTAAAAATTTATTGTTTCCAAGAGCATGATATATTGTATTTTTATGTAATGAGAAAAGAAATTATTGTTTTACAGTAATATCGGCCAGTTCTGACACAACAGTGAAAGTATGGAATGCACACAAAGGTTTCTGCATGTCTACGTTAAGGACACATAAAGATTATGTAAAAGCTCTAGCATATGCTAAAGATAAAGAACAGGTTGCTAGTGCAGGTTTAGATAAATTAATTTTTCTGTGGGATGTGAATACGTTAACTGCTCTTACAGCAAGCAACAATACAGTAACAAGTAAACATTCAGTCTATAACATGAGTAAATAATTTAATCATTCAAATAACATATGGATAATTTACAGCATCATCTCTTAGTGGGAATAAAGACTCTATATATAGCCTTGCCATGAATCAGATTGGAACAATTATAGTGAGTGGTAGTACAGAAAAAGTTTTAAGGGTATGGGACCCAAGGAACTGTACCAAGCTAATGAAACTTCGTGGTCATATGGATAATATTAAAGCTTTAGTACTAAACAGAGATGGCACTCAATGTTTGTCAGCCAGTTCTGATGGAACAATTAAACTTTGGTCATTAGGACAACAAAGATGTATCCAAACTTACAGAGTACATAAGGAAGGTGTCTGGGCATTATTGGTAATTATAATTTATCTTCCTATATTAATATCTTGTAATAGAATTGATGAATAATGATACAAATGGTACAAATACAAATAATACAAATGGTTGTATTAAATTAGAAAAATCATCCTTAGGCAACAGATACTTTCAGTCATGTAATATCAGGAGGTAGAGACAAAAGGGTTGTAATGACTGAATTATCATGTTATCCTGAAAGATATACAGTTATTTGTGAAGAGAAAGCGCCTGTGTTAAAAATGGTCATGACACCTGATCAGTCCAGTATTTGGGTGGCAACTAGCGAATCTACTATAAATAATTGGGTATTGCATTCTTTTGCTCTGCATGAAAAAAGCACTTGTTAATAAAGTAAATAACGTTTTAAAAATTTATTGTAGTCTATAAGTCAAAAGGATTGGCAAGAATTAGGAATTGAGGATTATTGTGACTCTGCTAGTGGGGTAACCTCGCATGTAAGAAATACAGAGCCTGCACAAAAGATATTGGGTGGTCCAGCGATACGGCACTGTCATGTTTTAAATGACAGAAGACATGTTTTAACAAAAGATACAGAAGAAAACGTAGCTTTATATGATGTATTAAAGGCACGAAAAGTTGAAGATTTAGGGAAAGTAGATTTTGAACAAGAAATAAAAAGAAGAAATAAAATGGTATATGTTCCAAACTGGTTTAGTGTAGATCTTAAAACTGGGGTATGTAATTCCATAATTCATTAAGGTGATTGTAATTTTAATATATATAAGAGTAAAAGTAATGTTTGATATTATACTTTTATAGATGTTGACCATCCATTTAGGGCAAGATGAAAATGATTGTTTTTCTGCATGGGTTTCTGCAAAAGAAACTGGTCTTGCAGAAAATGATGCAGTGGATCAAAAAGGTAATGTTTATTCTTTTATGTACATGTTATTTTTCACTATTCTTACAATATCATATCTTGTTTTTCTTTTTCTTTCAGTAAATTATGGAAATCTTTTGCTGCAAGCTTTATTGGAACATTGGTGGAGACCATTACATGTTGATGATGAAAATGAAGGTAACAGTAATGATGGTAATGGTTCTATACATACCAGAGGAGGAAATCTGTATTTCTCAGTACCAACTCATACACCTGTTATATTCAGGTATAAAAGTATTCTAAATATTTTCTTTAACTTGAAAAAATTTGATTAATTATTTTCAATTGTAGCAATGAAAATACAATTATGTTTTAGTGAAGTAGGAGGCAGACCTTTGTATAGATTGTTAGTTAGAGATGCTGCTGGAGAAATGGAAGGAGTGTTATTAAATGAAACTGTACCAGCATGGGTAGTTAACATTGTTGTGGACAAAAATCTTCCACAATTCATAAAAATATCATTTTATCTTCTTCCACATGCTACATCTGGCGTCAAAAGTTTAAAAAAGTACGTGAAAAAGTTAATAATTTTTTAAATAAGCAAATAACATTTTTGTAATGTCGAATTGTGTACTTTTCAAGGGATCGCTTAATCGCAAACGATTTTATACAAATTCGTAAAGTAGCAGAACATGTTTGCGATAAAGTGCTTGGTGCCGGAAGTGATTCAGGATCGGTAGCAGGTGCTGGAAATACAGTTTCTGGAGGATCTCCGGCAGGAGATAGGACAAATACGGATTCAAACGCTGATAATTCTTCGCTGGCCGAAGAAAAAGTAGAATTGTTATGTAATGATCAAGTTTTAGATCCTTCTATGGATTTAAGAACTGTATGTTTTCATATATATATATATGATTATATTAGTTCAATAGTAAGAAATATTTATGATCTTTATTTGATTATTTTTTTTAGGTCAGACATTTTATTTGGAAAAGTTCAGCAGACTTAATACTTCATTATCGGCCAGTAAAATAGTTAGGGCTAAGTACGTCGGAACAGAGATCTCTAAAGTGTGCTTGGTTTTTTACCGTCATAAAGTAAGTAAATGTTTTCACTTATTTTTTCTTGTTAAAAATGATCATATAAAACAAATATGTTGCAGAATAACGGAAGATATGTGGTCTAGTTGCAGAGTGTGGCATCTCACATTACCTTCATTTCATGAAATGTTCAATCGAATTTCAGTGGATGTTTCATTAGATGCTGCAACTGAAGACGAGTAAAAGCCAGGTTATATATAGAATATTTAAAATTAAATGAATGAAAGGCAATAATGTGTTGGAGTATTAATATAAATTGCTCATATTTGTACATTAATATCCTGAGGCCAAATTCAATAATATAACCATAATTTCAATTAGTCTGCTTCTAAAAGCATGTTTTTTGTACTAGTACAAAGTATTAAATATTTGATGTCAGCCATTTATAGTCTTCCCACTTCGATAATACAAGGAAAGTTAAGCACAAAAAGTAAGGGATAAAGCATATGGCCCAGGAAATTATTATATGTACTTTTAAATGCTATATTCTTGATATGCTTCTCAATCTTTTCTTTATTAATTCTATATAGTTATTTTTTTATAATTTATAAACTATTACTTTATTTAAACAAACAATCGAACAAACGAAAGATACATACTTATTAACAGTACTCCACACATCTGCCTTGTTATTTATAAAAAAAAAAAAAAAAACTATAAAAGGAAGAAGGAAATGTCAATTTACTATTAATCAAATTAAAATTGAACAGCCAAATTAACGATTCAATATTTCCTATTAATAATATAGGAAATAACAGTGTATGTCTTCAGTATAGTAAGATCAAATTCTGTCTTTAATGGAACTTCCAATAATTAAACTTTTATTACAGATATATAACGATGTTTCATATGAGAGAAGAAAAGTATAAATTTATAGTTGTCGATTAAAAAAATATAATTGGCAGAATTTGACCTTAGAAGACAACTATAATAGATAACAAACAAAAAGTGTGTAGTTAATCATACGTTAAAATATTTACTCTACTAGAATTCTACAAATTGTACATACAAATACGATTGTAAGTAACGTCACCCTTAACCATGGTGATGGGCTGTATACATAAAATCGAAGCAAATGTATCAAAAATGGAAGCCTTTACACCAATTTCATTAAATTGGGATAAATGCTTAACTTTTCTAAAAAAAGAAAAAAAGTGGGGAGCGTACAGAAAGGGGGGATAATAGAAAAAGAAAAAAAGGAAAGAAAACATTGTTCTTCATTGATACGGCCCTAAACGTAATTTTTGTGTTATCAAATTGACGCAGAAATAACTTTTTAATAAATCTGGAGATTATGTTATTGTTACATTTTAACATGCTACATACAGTGTAAGTATTTATTTGCTAAGCTTTTGTTACATTTATTTAATAATATAAAAAAAAATATTTACTATTGCTTAGTTATATTCCTTATTCTTATTAGGAATTTTTAGAGCTCTGTGATAAATGTTTCTTGAGCTAAGGACGTTAATTAATAGAATAGCTACCAAAAATATTGTATATTTGCAGTTAAGTTTGATTCATTTTTATATTTGTATATCGGCATTATATGTATATTTTTGGGAAGACCTAGTATCAATTATGTCACATTTGATTATTTTATTCATTTTTCAACTGAAATATATTTTCGTAAAATGACCCTCGTTATTGCAACAGAAAATCAACACGTGCCTGATCTTAGATTATAAGTTGTAGAGGGCATTTAAATTATGAACTGATGTAATAATCTTTTGAAAATAACATGGATTGTAAGTTAATGCTATTGCGGTGCATAATAGTAGAAAATATTTTGTTAGAATCTAGTATTTAGTTGTATATTTATAAGTGTTCTGTTCATAAGTTTATTTATATAATACTAGGCGCAAGATCGATTGTTTATTGTGTTTTTAGCAGTAACAATTGAACGAGATTTTTTGATAATTTATTATTTTGTTTTATTGTAAAAAAGAACTCTTACGTATTTTCTTTTCCGTATTATAATTGAATTTTTATGTTACTTGCTTAATTGCAAATTCATAAAGATTTACTATGTTTTTCAATAGTTTCACTTGTAGGTACTATTATATTAGTTTTAGACACAGAATGTGCATTTCATACAGTATTCGTAAAAGTTATAACTGAGCCTTCCTCATTAAAGAAATAACATTGTTCATTAATGGAAGTATTAATGTATTAAAAAAGCGCTTGTAATTACACTTTTGAAACGTGAGAACTTTAAATCAAAACTAATTATATACCCTGTCTTTTTAGTAAGGGACAAGACGAAATTCTTAAAATAAAATGTTAATTCTCATATTTAAGAAAAAGATAGGAAGCAGAAAAAAAAAATGATTATGCAATGGTGCCAAATTTTATACTAAACAGAAATTCTTGCAGTGCACCTATTTCTTTTTAAGAAAGACTAAGAAAAATTTTTTTCTGTATAATTGCTTTTAGCAATAACTTGTAGTTCTATATTTCATAATTCTAATATTTATTGTCTAACAATAAGATTATGTATATTAGTAAAAATTCATAATTACAACGATTATTTTCTCTGTTTCTAGAATGATATAAGAGTTTGAGAAATATCGTCTCGTATCTTGAAAATTCTATAAACGAATGGTGAAAGTCATGTTGATTCATTCTAATTTATAAAGATCATTCATATATTGATAGTAGATGAAATTTTCTACAATTTTCTACATCCTACTGCGTGATGAGACGGTATTCGTACAATGTTTGTAAAGTCATCTATCTTCAGCTATTAGTCGGCCAATACGCCGGAAAAAAATATCTGTAACACTTTTTATTATTATTAGAAAAAAGAAAATTTTGGTAATGTAATGTTTCATATCATAAATGATGCTCTATGGGTTTCTTTATAATTATAGTCTTCTTTATATTGTGAAACTACTCCAGATCATGTACACACCATTACGGAATTATTAATATTTAAATAAAATATTTAATTTAATACAGAATAACTTATGTAAATATATATATATATATATATATACATATGCATAACACTACTGTTTTACTGTTACAAAGTCATATTTAAATTTCTTTTTCAAGAATAAACTCTACAGCTTGAATGAAAGAGCTGCATACTTTCGTAGGCGGTGGTATTATTGTATTCTCATCTCCGTCTCGATATTTTCCAGTCTGTACCAAAAATCCTTTGATACCGATAGCTTGGGCGCCGGCTACATCATCTTTAACGTCCTAAAGAAAATCAGGCGAAATAAAAAACTGAAAATGAAAAAAAAACATTATAATTAAAACATGTAAAATAATTTTACATCGCCAATCATAATTGCTTCTTCCGGAGGCACATCTCCCAAAGCGGCTTTGAAGAACTCCGCAGTTGGTTTTCCAACAATTTCTGCATTGACATTGGCAGAATATTCCAAACCAGCAATAAAGGCACCTGGTCCAAGCGCTAAACCATCCGACCTTTTATAATATCGTGCTTTATGAATAGCTATGAGCGATGCGCCATCTAATAATAACCTGGAATGATGAATAATATTACAAATAACAAATACACTATAAACATTGTTAAAAAAAATATTTTTATATACAGTAAAAATTTTGTACATAAAGTTTCGACGTATAAGGTAGTTAAAAGGTACACCTGAATGCTTTTGTCAATTCTTCGTAATTGAATTTGGCTGGTGCCAAGCCTATTACTACAGCATTCTTTTTATCATCATTTTTTATTAAATCTTCAAAATCTTCATTAGCCGCCGGATCGATGAATAACATTGGATTTAATTTACGTGAAATGATTAGTTTTCTTGCTGCAGCTAAGGAACTAAAAATTTCTTCCCTCTTAATGTTGAAACCGAGTTTTGCCAATCGGTTATAGAGAAAGTTACCCGATTCTTTTGTTGTGTTTGTAACAAATTTAAGCGGTATATTAGCGCTTCTGAGCCTGTATTACTAACAATAAAATAATTTACATCTACATTTTACTAGATTGTATTATTTTATTTACTAAAGCATTATTTTACATTAATAACAGGATTAAATCTAAACATTAAAAATATGCATTCGATTAAAAAATATATATATATATATATATATATGAGGTGCCATAATGTTTGCTAATAACTGTTAATAATTCTCATGAAATTAAATTGAAAATACCACCTGTTTAAAGCTTCTACTGCACCTGGAATAACCGAATTATCAATGTGCAGTGTTCCACTAAGATCTATTAATACCATTTTTACTTGTTTCGCCATATTTTGTAAAATTTCGTTTATAGCTCGTTCGACGTTTACTCCACAGTTACGAGTACATCGCACACGAATGTTCGTGTCTGTATATGTATAATGTTAAAGCGTGTTCATCCGTCCCACACATTAACATGAATTGGGTAATGATAGCGACTTAAAATTTGTCGCACGTGTCAAATATGGCGCTCTCCATGAGACAAGAAGGTATAAAGCAAGTACCTTGGTTTTCTCTGTAAGTATTAGGGTTGTCAAAGGTTTTTCTATTTCAAGATGTTCGATTAAAAATTACATTCACGTTATATAGCGCAGAATGGCATCAAGTGTACAAACAGGTTTATTCTAACAATGTTAACGAACAGAATAAAGGTTATGAAATGCTGCTTGTGTGGCAAGCAAGGTAATCAATTGAAGAAACATTTAGTAAAACATACATATGAAATAAGTATTAATTCATAGCGTTTTAGGATACCAAAATTACCCGTTGGCGTTGATTGCACTCTTGCAATTATGCAAGTGTGTGCTAGAGACCGGGAATGGACTCCCAAAATTAACAACGGCGAATTACCAATCAGTTATGAAAATGACTTGTGTCTGATGTATTCAACTACGATAATGAGACTTTTAAATCATATATCCAACATAGGACACACAAAGCAAACGTCCTTGTTTCAGATAGCTAAGCAACTCAATATTCCTGAATGGATAGTGAATTTAAGACACGATACTGCTCATGGACATGAATTACCATCCATTGGTGTATTGAGAATAGCTATAAATATATTACTAGTTTGGCTACATGTAAGTTTATTTTTATGTTAACCACAACATTAAAAGAGAAAGATATTTCTCACGTGATATATTTAAAGAAACAATATTGGGCAGTTGAAGAAGCCAAAAGAATGGAAGAGTATTTAATTAAAAAATCTGTAAAGGAAGTCCAAGAAACCGAAGAAGTACAAGATTTTGATGATTTAATTGAACTTTGGACTTCTGTAAGTTTATACATTCATGCTGGATACCATTTAGTGTTAAATGTTCCAGATCTTCAATTGAAGTAGGTATAATTTTTCACTTATATTATAATAATAAAAAAATTCTAACAAATTGATATTGTTAATAGAGAAACATTACAAGATTTGCGTTCATATGCTATTTCTTTATTAAAAGAGAATAGTGAAGATATGGAAAATGATATAGATAATTACATAGAGACTGCCAATGATGACATAAAAAAAGACAAAAAGTATACCTTAGAAACTGCAAGAATCGTTCTTTTATCTGAAATATCTAGATTTCTTAACAAAAAATCTATACCTGGTAAAAAAGATATAGTCTGTAATACATTGCTCAGTTCAGAAGTTTTTTTACCAAGTAAAAATATGTTAGCAATTTTTAGTAAGAATACTGAAAATGAATTGGAAAAAAATGTTTTGCCATTAGACATGGTCGAATTTTGGAAAGATATAATATTTTTATTATGTGAAAAAGATTTTATGGAAGTATTAATTGTAAAATTACTTGAATTAGTAAACAATAATGAAGTAAGTGAAGAAAAGAAATTATTAGCTTCTTTATGGATAAGTTCTATATCATATAGTTTTTTGAAATTAGATATTGCACATAGTATATGTCGAACTTTGGAGTATCATTTAGAAAAGATGCAAAAAAAATTGCCATCAAAAGCTTTTGAACTTAAGGTTAAAGAGGAGGTAGATCATATTTATCCACATTTGAAATGTGTATTATGGTTTAATTTATCAGATACAGTACTATCATGTTTAACTGATATAAAATTTATTTCAAAACTTATATTAAATATCAATGAATTTTCACTCAAATTCATTGTACCTATTTTGGAATTATTAAGTTCAAAAATAGATAATAAAAGTAAACAGTTATTGTTGAATTTAATGAATGTTTCTATAATGGTACCACTTGATAAAAATGATATAAATTCTATCGAGTGTGAAAAAATTTTTACCCTAAGTGATCTTAAAGATGATGAATATTTGGTAGACACAAATAAAGTAGAAGATGAAATACTTCATTTTTTAGCTGATAAAAAAATTCGAAATAATTATTGGAACTTTGCAGTTGGTAAGTATATAAACTTAAGTACCTACTTCTAAATTCCAAAATGTATTAACGAAATATTATCAAAAAATTTTTCAGCAACTCATAATTGGGCAGAAAGTCCAATTGGTTTACTTCCATGGCAAAATGACGGACTGGAATTTGTAAATCCACTCAATATGATAGTACAGAAATACGATGTTTCAGTTTTAGATTCTGAAATCCTTCCTGGAATTATAGATATGAAAAATGTAAAAATACACGGTCGAATTAATTGGAATAATGTTCTGAGAAAAAAGAAACGTCTAAAACGAAAACAGGATCGAAGAAATAGAAATATTATAATGAATAAAGCATTAGAAACTCTTAAAAAACAAAAATAGAACATTAGAGTCTTTGTTGTATTTCAAATATTTTATTCATTACATTATTCATATGTTAACAGGAAAGAAATTCAACAATGTTCTTTTGTAATTTTATAAATAAATTATCTAATTCTATCAAAACTGTCTTATAAAAAATTTTTCAATCACTTATAAAATTTCGATATCACAAACATTGAATGTAATTTTATACATAGGAAAGAAATTTTTGTACATTCTTGAAAGAATATTTACATTACATTGTAATAGCTTATATTTATAAAATAATAATTTCGCATTTCTTATTATGTATATGAACACAATACAAATGTATAAAATTTATAAATTAAACATACTAGTAACATCACAGATGCATTAAAAAAGAATAAACAAATATCTATTGTATAACAAATTTTTGTAATGTTATCAAATAATGATTTCAAATATAATTTAACAAGCCTATAATTTTAGAATTATATGTAACTATTGCAAATTTATTATGTGTGTTTGTTTCTCTTTGGTAGTATTGTATTAATGTTTTTTATCAAGGTATGCAATTACATGATATGTCAAATGATAATGTTACACAACCACAAAATATAGTCACCAAAGATCGACTTTGTACTTATTCCATATATGTGCACTTGATTGTGATAGATATTTCTGAAATATTAAGAGGTCAGAAGAATATTTCTCATTCCATATTGATGAGTATACGTGCACTGTAGGCGGAGCCAAGATATTCTTATTCTATAACATACACTAATGCAAGTATAAATGTACTTAATAAATATTCAGATGCAGTTCATGATCTTAAATGCAGCTTTTTATGAAATTATCGTTTACTTATTTATTTTAGAATATTTTACTATTTTTTCCTGGAAAATTTCAGTATGAGTATTTATCAAGTACAAGCGTACCGAAATACTATTTCGGGCATTTAAGGGGTATCATGAGGTAAGGGGAATAGAAATGACTCCGCCTACGGCAATCCATGGATGAAAGCTTCGTACTTTGGTCTGTTAATCTGCTCATAGTACGAAAGAAATTTCAACTTATTCTCGCAAAAATGTTAACATATATTTTTTATGTATGACGTAATATTAACTAACATTTTATATAATGTTACAAAAGTAAAATGGAAAAAGGTTTTTGTTCTTACAAATTCTTGAACAATCCGATCAGTACAGATGCACTGGCACGGTACATGGGTACGCGTTAGGTGTTTTTTTTTTTTTTTTTTTTTAGACAAGAAGCATTCTCCGAACCTCTTGAGTGTCTACAATCTTACTTCAGTACACGCGTACTCAATAGCACGTATACTTGCTAACAAGTTTCTTTTATACTTTTTACGTAAAAACAAACATTTCAAATCGTGTTATTGATTCTCGGATATTTTACTCAAATAATAAAGATCAACATAGTTCCTTCCTTCCTAGTACATTCTTTTTTCAATTAAAAAGCAAAAGTGTTTTTATCGGTAGTTTTGGTTTTTTTGAGTACATCTGCAAGATGTTTAGTTGAGTCCAAACCAAATACGTTTAATGGTACTCGAGACATTGATGCTATCCTGAAATTATATAGAAAAAAAGTGTAATATAATGTATGTTAAAAATTTAAATGGATAATAAGTCTATTGTGTCTATTACCTTCCTCCAGATATAGCGTATAAAAATTTCCAATAGGAAGACCTTAAAAGGTGTGGTTCAAAGATTGCTACATGGAAGAGTACTGCTGTACAAAAGCAGTATAAAAAAATTACAAACCACTTTACTTCAGGTACTATATTTTGTTCCACAAGATCATTCCATGACAACTAAATGAAAAAGGCAAGTATAAATTTTACATAATAAAAATATTAAATTTAAGACTCAAGAAGTTATTTATCAAAATACCTGCAAAGCTTTCCACATAAAATATAAAGCTATTGTATTACTACTGTAAAACATAAATGTTAAACCACCAATAAGTCCAGCAGGAATTGCGTGACAAGGAGAATCTTTCTCTAAGAATCTCCTTAACAAACAGGATATTAGCTAAAATAGATTTGAAAATTATTATGAAAGTGGATGTAAAACTAGAATGACTTTTTGTAATAAAAGTATAATACCCTATAAATTCCTGCAAAACCACCCAAAAACATAGGTAGATTTAGATTACTTTTTTTAAAAATCATTGATCTTATTGACAGTGGGTTCACAAATAATTTCTTAATACCAAAGACCAAATTAATTACTAATTGAGCACTTAGAGCATAACTAAATAGTTCCATCACACCCTATAAATAAAAATGATAATAATATACATTTCACTGTATATATGTAATCTTTAATATTTATTCATTTTTAGTATAGATACCTTTAGTATGTGATGAGCACAACTAAAAGGATGTAAACAGGAACTATGTTTTCCTTGAAGTTTTAATCTTTCTATAATTTTGCTATATACTTCAAGGGATTTCATAAATATATTAAAATTCTTTTTACAAGATTTTTTATTTACATCACGCCTTTCTGAACTATTACTAGCATTGCCTTCACCATCAGAACGTATTTGTGTATTGCAATGTAAATTGTCTTTTTTTGTAGCAAAATCATATTCTTCATATTTCCCAACAAGAATTCTAATAAAAATTTTTTAATTAAGAATTGTTTGGAACTGTCATGAGTGAAAGCATTGCATAAATAAATACCTAAATATCCTATACATAGAAGGTTCTTTATTTGGTCTAGAACGATAAAAATAAAGTAATAGTGCTATGCTTGTAGCAAAAATATATGTTGCACCTTGTGGAACAGGAGTATAATAACCCCTTGCAACTCCCATTTTAAATAGTGTTTCTGTTGCCTAGTAAAGGATATTGTAATTTATTATGTATACCAAAACATGTGAAAGAATCATGACTTCTATAGATTTATGTAAATCTTTATAAAAAGAAAAAAAAAAGTTATTTTATATCATCTTAACAAAAGAAATTAATCTACTCACAAGATTAGCTACATATAAACTTAATAAAGGACGTCTTGATGGTCTCTCTATAACAATAGCTGTTATACTAGATAAAAAGGATGGAAGAAATGATACAGTCAGAAAATTGAAGTTGCCAAGTATTTGTCTGAAATATATATAGTTTTCAAATAAATATATAAGGCGTGCTGCATAATTAAAAAACATTGTTACATCAAACAAAAAGTACGTAGCAATTACATAGAAAGTAACAAATTGCATGAAATCAAGCAGAGAAGTTTTATTTGCAATTGATTCTTAAAACTCCACAAATTTTCAATGGATCTTTGTACAATGTATACAATCTTTTTCATGCAAACCTTAAGAAGCAAATAAAGACGGAATATGAGAAGGCACTCCACGAGAGAAACGCTGTTGATTGCAAAAGGCCTAACATTGTTTTTCTAGCATCTTCTTTGGATGGTATCTTTCCTTTCATTAAAAGTGCGGCCTAAAAAATATAACAGAAGAAGATAGAGATTCAGCATTGATGATTCTGATAGTTTCGTTCGTTTAATTAGCATCGAGGGATCATTTGGAATGGGATCATTTGGAGTTCCTTGAAATGCGAAGAGAAAGTCGCGTGATGCGAGAATTTGAACGTTGTTAATTCAATGCGGCGACGAAACAAAAAAATTTATCGATAAAAATTGCAATGTCATGCTAATATACATGTATCTTTATTAATGTTGTTTTTTGCTATTCTTATTATTCGTCACAGAATGTGTCCGACGATGTAATTTGATTGGTAATAATATGTTTTACTGTGCGAATTAATTGCAGATATACATGTAACGCGATCGATATACTATGGACAAGATACAAGAAACATTGGGGAAGAATCAAGAGAAAACGAAAAGGTAAACGTACTATATAAACGGTGGCATATAACTTTAGACATTCTGGAATAGAATCCAACCCGAGACCAGCTGCCGCAGCCGCGCAGGAGTTCGTCCAATGATGCGAGTAATCCTTGCATTGTATGTCGATGAGTTTGCTTAGTTGCGCAGGCATTTTTCGATGACAAACAGTTACGCGTTAAGTCAGAACTGTCGATTACAAAAACAGGCAATATTCAATGAGGGAACGTTGCACGAAGGAGAAGAACTACAGCTGACACTTGTTCTGTCACGCAGTACAACAGCTACTATTTTGATATTGCCCGACACTTTGTCGATTTCATTCTTTTACACGGACGACTGATTTGTTCAAAGGAGTCTATTTATTTGTGGGGACTGTTCGACAAAGATTAGGAAACGTTCGATTCGAAGGCCGAGTATAATATGCTTGCACGTTTTGCAAGTCGAAAGGAGATGCTCGCAGAGACAAATAAACACGCGCGGACTCGTCGACCGCTCAACACCGACTGAGTGAATGGACAGCGAGCATGAAGTCAGAAACTGCCACTATAATCCGTCTAAATTTTGCATTCGGTTTGCAAATTACAATGATCGACGCGCCAGCAATAAAAAATGTTATTTACGATTTTTATTTCGATTCGATTTTAATCGCTGATGGAAAAATACAATTAACGACTTTATCATTATCGCCGAGGCAGGTGTTTAACGAATTGTGGTATTGGAACATTTAAATGGATTTAACTCGATTTGACGGAAATGTAATTTAGTTTAAATTTCATATTTTGAAAACGCATTATATCGTGGCATGACTTGCTGTAACTTTCTAATTACGATTCCGATGCGCGCTATCATCATAAATTGATGTGAAAGGATTCTAGGTTTAGAATTAACGACATGGGGGAAACAATCTTGTGAAAGAAAAAAGAGATTCGGTCAGCGTATCATAATTTCTGGTATCTGTGTTGAAATCTGATACTATTCGACGTAAAGTACAAAGTTGCGTTAAAGCGTAGAATATATTTCAATATGACGAATTTTGTATGTAATTCGATGATGATGGATTTTGCAATAAAATCATTTGCCAAACAATTGATGAAAAGCAAAACTGACATAAAAATTCCTGTTTCTATAAATTCATCCTCGAGTCACTTTAGATTAGTATAAATAACAATACGTTGTTAACTACGTTGTTATCCTCTGCGATTAAATCGCATCCAATTATCAGGGGAGAGCCTATGTTAAATGAAACTCCATTGTGGCACGTGACGAATAGAGAGACAGAGTGAGATAGTAATGTCCAAGAATTTAAAATCAACAATTTAGTTATAAATATCGAGATTTGGTGGAAAAAAAATACATATATATATATCCCGTTGCATGAAGGCATGTCGAAGAATGGCGGGGTTAACGGCGGTCAGCTAACGAGGCACAGTTCCAGTCAGTAGACTGGAGACAATACGTCACTTGAGACACGTAAAATAAAAGTTTTCTCCTTGTTCGAGCGATTCGTACTTACACCTTTCGAAATTTAATAAACCATGCACGTACATCTCGGTAAGTGCGAAAAAATTGCAAACAATCGTCGTGTACGAAGTGGCAATAACACGACCGCGAAGTGCTAGGTTATTAGAGGTTCTGTATGATCGTACGTGACCTACGGGGTAAAGAATTAAGAATTAAATTACGTTACTAGTTTGTTTGAGACTACAGTGTAACCAAGTAAAAAGAAAAATTGTTTCGTTCATCCGTTTTATACAAAAGATCGACTTTACGCTGTACGTGTGTACACTCGCGCATGATCGCGTGACTGTGTTGCCACTGCCACTGACATCTACATGTCACTAACGGAACGTGGAGGATTTCGTAGCTTGTAAATCGCGGGATGTGGGTATTTATTTCGTCAATATTTAATAGCGCTTAAAGAGCCTCGAGGATAGCTTGTCGTTAAATAATTAGGTTCTATTGATATACAATTGGTACAGTTGAACTTGACAAATCGATACACTGCATTTTAACGTCACTGGTAACGTCGTTTGATAAATAAAAATTTCATACAAGTAAGAGATTCGTTAGGAGATAAATTTCATTGGTACGAAGTCCTTTTTTTTCTCTCTCTTTTCTCTTTGTAGCAAATTTTGACGCGAGGATGGCGCCATATCTGGCTATAGATAATTTGGGATTTATCCATTTGACTTGGAAAGACACTGTATCAGATAAGGGGTGACACAATTATGTTTGGATTGTGATTGGCCACGACCGAATAGGTAGTTTTCCGTGTCTGATGAACAATAATTGTTAGTCATATTTCAGCTCAGTACGGTGATCCATGGTGGTATATAAAGAAGGGAAGGAACGGTATATGTATTAAATACCGTACACAATTGCGAATAGAACAATCATATCGCCGATCGCAGTGAGATACTATTGCATCAGAAGATAATAACGGGGCATTTCCTGCATAATGTAAAACGTGTAAGTTTTCTTTTTTTTTTAATTTTTAAGATAACTTTAACAAGTATGTTTCTAGGTAGAGCTATGAAAATTAACTTCATTTCTATAATTAGTTTATAAATTAAGATGTGTCTTGTTCACGTTATTACACGTTACGAGTCTCTTACCATGTAAATGCTCCTTATACAATTATATATCAACAATTATATAAATAGAAATGCTAATTACTTAAAAATTTTTATCTATTCAGTTCTTTACATAAATGCGTATTAGCAATTTTAATAAACGTAATCACATGAAACGAGTTGAATATGCAATTCATTGGTCTTGGTATAAAGTTTAATGTGATTCAGTAAATAAAAAAAAAATCGGAATTCTACATATATTACTAGTATTTTTTATCTATTACGTTGTTCACCGATGATTTAAGTAAACATCGTTATTGAATTATGAATATTTGTGCAAAGCCACATTTTTATGAAATGGCACCTATGTAGAGATTTTGTCCTCTAAATATCATAACGAGTACTCTAATTTATGTATTCTTGCGTGTTGCATGTATTAAATTTAAATTTTCCGAAAATGTATAAATATTCATAATTATTTACCTCTAATTAGTGAAATATGTATTTCGTGCGTATTACATTTGAGAAAGTGTAAGCAAGAGCTTTATCAACGATCCTTAAACAATCATAATTCTGTTTGCTTGCAGCTTATTGTGGCGCCATACGTTTAATCTCAACAATATCCCGCATCTATTAATTACTTTTCAAGTTTCGCGAAGAAGAGAAAGAAGAAGAAAAAAAGAAAGAAGAGAAATGACTACTGGGCTGAAAACGATGGAATTTCTACGACTAGGCCGACGAGTTCGTCGACGCCTAAATGCCCGAAATGGTGAGTAACCGAATATCACTTCAATTCAATGTATACTGCAATATTATCAAACGACTCGCGATAACAGAAACGTGAGTCTACTTAACCAATCGCTAAATCCTTCCACACGTGATATTGTTTGTATTGTACGATTGTCACGTTCGCATGCAGTCTTGAATGCGTCGTAGTTAAGCTGAAATATGAGTGCAAACAAAGTACCTAAGTTAGCATGAAGAAATGTTTTTACGAGTTATTAGATGCGGTAATTAGATGACTTGGATATTTTAATGCAGGGTATGTAAATATAAGTTTAATGTCGGAATTACAAGTAATTTGATCATTATCCTTATTTAGTTTTTTTTCTTTGTTAAGTTAGAGGGAGAGAGAGAGCGAGAGCGAGAGCGAGAGCGAGAGCGAGAGCGAGAGCGAGAGAGAGAGAGAGAGAGAGAGATTTAAATCACTCATGCATTGAACGTTTCATTTCAAAAGAAATCTTATGAAAGAGTCAAAGAGAATGATTCTTAGAAGTATGTAAAATAAGATAAAACTTTGTAAGGAAAGTATACAGAGCCGATATAATGTGAGTTCATAGTTCAATCGCAGTCGTATGTTGCAACGTAAATGTTAAAATCTGAAATTCAGAAAAAATATAATTATACTATTATACTGCTCAAAGCAAAAAAAAAAAAAAAAAATGATTGGGTACACTACTTTTTTCGCTTAAAGATATTTCGTAACTTAAACGTTGTAAATGCGCGAGATATCTTTTGAACTTGTTTAAAAGTGATAACAAAATTTTATTATTATTATTAATATTAATTTTTATTATTATTATTAATTATTTTTAAGCGTTACTCGTTTAATACGATCTAATATACGATCTATTTCGATGTTTTCAAAATTAATTCATGCGTCATTTGTTCAAAACTTCAACTTTAATATATTAAATGAAGTTTTTATTACAGTTTTTAATAATGTTTATTAAAAAATTGTTATTACATGTAACTTGTGAAAAATGAAATACGACGTGGTTCATTATTTGGATTAAAATTCATCCCATTAAAAGCAGTCTAAAGAGCGATAATTATGTCATGTTCGTTCATTTATCAGTGTATAACAATTACTATTTGTAAGAAACGTTCAGTTGTCGTAGATCGTGATAAAACGACGAGTTACACCATCTTGTAATTTTTCTGCAAAAGAACAATGGAAGCAAACAATAATTTATTAGCAAAACCGTCAGATTATAGAAGCATTTCAAGATATTTATTACTCGCGTTTTGTTCGCCGTATATGCGTTATGGACGTAAATATATTGCGCATAGAGGACCTTATCTCATGCATGATTACATAAAAAAAAAAAAAAAAAGAACTACTGAAATCATCTCTGTGCCGAGAAAGATGGAATTAGAAACGGAAACCAGAACCATGATTTGCTTGTAAATGTCGCGATCGGACTGTATTCATCTTTGTATCGTGCAAATTAATTTAGAAATTTCAACTTCAGATTCGAAACTTTTCGATTTGTACGTTTAATTGTTGCATATGTATGTATTGTATCTTCTTTGAATAAAAGACAAAATTTTTTCTAATTTATCTTCTCTAATTTGGTTTCTTACATGAGTGCGAAAGGAAAAATTGTAGAAATATTTTATAACGCATTCGCAATGATAAATCTGTTTTCTAAGATTGTGATTTATTAACGAAAGCCACTATCTTGTGTAGTGAGTGATCATCTTCTTGCTGACGGTCAAGAAAAGAAAAAAAGGATCGCTTTAAACATTGACACGAAGATGTTGAAGATTGGATTCATAGGAGGCGGCAAAATGGCTCAGGCTTTAGCCAGAGGTTTCATCCGAGCTGGTAAGAAGACATATTTACTTATGCAATGAGTTGTATTGAATATGTATTCAAATATCTTTGTATAAGATATTATTTTTAACGTCTAGGATTAAGCAAAGGTGAAATGATGCTGGCTAGTTGCCTTCCAAACGACGTGGGCAGTATAGATGCGTTTAAGGTAAAAATAATAATTTTTTATCGCGTCAGATAATTTCGTTATCATTACACATGTAGATAGCAGTAATAAAAAATAAGATTATCCGATTACTGATTTTATCAGTCTGAAGGATTTACTTCGAAGCAACATAAAAACAACAAATATATTTTTGTTTGCTTGACAAATAAAATAAAAAAGATACTTAAGACACACTATTAGATTCATTTTAAGTTATCGATAATTTCTACACAATTGATTATCAAGATTAGATAAATTATAATTGCATTCAATAGAGTTTATTGAATAGATGATTGTTTTCGCATCAATGGCAGCTTCAATCTGACAATTCAAAGATAGTTTATCTCAATTTTAATAGATTTTTAAATTATTAGATTATATTAAGAAGTAAGCAGTAGAAAATTTTAAGTTCTAACACTAATATAGTGATTATCGCGTTTTGGAAAATTTCCAATACCGTATCGTCTTATCTTCGCTTCGCGATAATTTCATAAATTATATTTTAACTATACAATTTAATTTACTTCGAATCCTTCATCTTTATCGATGGTATTAAATTTATTGATATTTATTGATATTGGTCATTATATTAAATGTCATTAATACTTGATTAATTTGCAATTCCAGGAAATGGGCTCAAATACTGTATTTTCTAACGTACCTGTAGTTGATTATGGTGACGTTCTGATTTTATCAGTGAAACCACAAGTGGTTCCGATGGTTCTTCCAGATTTAAAAAATTATAAAAAACTTTTACTTTCTATTGCTATGGGTGTTCCATTAGCGTCGTTAGAAAAGGTAAAGTTTAATCTATTATTAAATTTTAAATATTAATCACAGTTTAACAAAAGTTAGTTTCAATTTTTTATTCAATTTTTTTTTTGTGTAATTCGATTCATCTTCATTTTTATCATTTAGAAATTTTTAATTTGCAAGTTTAATTTCAATGCTAGGCATTACCAGAGGGAACACCGGTAATTAGGGTAATGCCCAATACACCGGCCCTTGTGGGTTGTGGTGCAACGGTATATGCTCGTGGAAAACATGCTGGCGATAAAGAAGCTCAAATAGCAGAGCAATTATTTTCTTCTGTTGGTTTATGCGAAGAAGTATCTGAAAATTTAATTGACCCCGTTACGGCCTTAGCAGGTTCAGGTCCTGCATATGTATGTAACAAAATCTCGATATATTTTCAAAAATCTTTATATATTGATGTTTTTTATTAACAAAAATTTTTTTATTAAATATTTTTTTATTAATGTAGGTATATATGATGATAGAAGCTTTAGCCGATGGAGGTGTCAAAATGGGTCTCATGAGACCAATCGCGTATAAATTAGCTGCACAAACAGTCCTTGGAGCTGGTACTATGGTTCGAGATACGAATACACATCCAGGACAACTTAAAGATGACGTAGCGTCTCCAGCAGGTTTGAAAAACTATACTTTTTTTTTCATTTTGTGCAATTATTTACATATATTATTATATAATGTCACTTAGGATCTACGATAACTGGAATACATTATTTAGAAGAACACGGATTAAGGTCAGCTATAATAGGAGCAGTTGAAGCAGCAACGAAGCGATGCAAGGAAGTTAGTTCAGTTTCAGAGAAAAATTAGATTGATTGAAAATTTATGTGGTAATAGTTAAAAAAAAAAGAAAATGAGGAAAGCATTCTGTAATTGTTAATATCGTAGAAAAGAAAGCAAATCATAGTAATACTATGTAAAATTTCATAATTATCGTGTTTTATAAGAAATATGTAATGTAATTTTTTGAAGAATATTTTGTATATTTTGTACATAATTCTTTTAAACTGGTAAATGTTAAAATTATTGTTGTACCTTTAAAGCGCAACGCTTAAACGTAGATCTGTTATTTTTTCACGGTAGCATATTTTGTAATGAAAAATATATATAAATATGTGACAACATTTTTATGTTTATATTTTTGACATAAATTCTTTACTCGATCTAAATTTCTTGGTAACAAATTTTTTATGAAGACAGAAAGTATAATACACAAAATATAATTTTTATACTACAATATGTAAAATCATTTTATTCCATTATTTTTAAAAGGAACATAGCAGTTATACCTAATCTAAAATCTGGATATTTCTTTTCTATGTAATCTATCGAATCTGTTGAAATGACTTAATATGTTCTTGTATTCTGTCCTTAAAGTTTTTCGCTGCAATGCATTTTAAACGGAATAATTTTTGATAATACTATTTTATATAGTTTCTTTCTGTTAAATTTAAATTAATTTATCTTCAGTTCTAATACATTATTTAATGTAACTCCTTAGTCGAGCAATATAACTCCTTACTCATTTTTAAAAAAATATTTACTTTAGGATGTTTTGTACATATTGAAAGTATTTTATATTTTTTTTACAATCTTTCATGTTTTCATTTGGTTTGAATTGTGTTTCATATTATAAAATAGACACTATTTCATATATATATATGAAGGAAATCTGTAAAGTTACTAGATGGTAATGGACTTTTATTAGTTATTAATGATTATATATGTTATTAATGGACTTTTATTAGTTATTAGTTATTAGTTATTGTTTTGCTAATAAATTTATTGATGTAACTTGTGTAACAATTATATTTGACATTTAACGTTATATTTAGCATATAATTACAATAATTAGCATATAATTACAATAATTACACAAATTTTCATTTTAGTTATATTTATTTTTATTGCATACCTTATACAAAGATAAAAAAGAAAAAAAATCATCTTTATACTTATTGCTTTATACAAATGTTTTATTATATTTGCTATTTAAGTTATTCAGAAAAGTGATATTGATGATAACGAACAACACGTGATGTATGTAAATTAAAATAAAGAAAAATTACTTGAATCGAATTATATAAATTAAATTCGTTATATCGAATTGAAATACAAAAAACAATTGAAGTACAAAAACTAATAATAAATGATGATTTTGAAATTAGCTAATTATTTAAGGGCTGATCAAAACACAATCTAAATATCATTTAAAATTTTTTAATTTTAAATTTTCGATTAAAATGTTAATATCACAATTGGGCTAAAGATGGCGAAAGATCCCGCTAAAGAGTGGTTTACCCACTTTTCAACAGTTTGAATTCGGCCATTGTGTTTTTCGGTCACGCGATCCCGCGTTCTTTCCTATATCTTGGAAAAATGGTACGTAAAATTGTCTCTCTATTGAAAACATGTTCTTAAAAACTGTATATTAAAGACTTGTTATTAAAGACTTTATATAACTTGTCAATTAATTCTTGTTAGTATTCACAAATATGTATTTTAAATTTCAAATTCCAAGGCTTTCAAGACTTCACATTCTTTTCAGTCACGATTTCATATTCAAATGAAGTATAATATAATATAATTTTGCGTCGTCATGTTCAGTATGATTTAATCTTTCTCAAGTGCAAAATTCCATTTCCAATAATAAAGCGCGTAATATTCATTTCGTTAATTTCCAGTAATTAACAATATAACCAAACTTTAATGACGTAGTAGTGTTAAAGTAATAAGAGACTAAATTGATTTGACGTTCCTAAAGTACAATCCCTATTTTTACTGTAATAAATCATACGATGCTTATTTCTCAGTTTCATCAATTTCCATATATAATAATTAATAATACAATAATTTCGAATTTAACGAACGTGAGAGATATTTCGAACATTCGGCAGTTGATCACTTTTGGCGCGACGATTGAAAAGTTTTCAAATTCGAAATTCATCAGGAGCCGTGCAGATGGCAGCACGCGACGCAGTTAGACGCGCGTTTGACAATCGTGAGAGAATTTCGTTCGGATGCGTTCGACAAGTGACGTTCGGTATTAAAAGTGCGATGTGTGGTACGTGTAAACAAAAGTGTATTGAAGTTCTGCGAAATGTTTGGCAAACCTGACGCCAGCCTGTGATAAATGTTAACTTCGCCAAACGTTTTTACGGACGTTGGTGTCGAGGAGTATTTTGGTTACCATCCGGTCGACAACGCATTCCAACGTGCATTGTGGGTGAGTGTTTTTTAGGTTACCCATCGATTTGCGAGTGACGGATTTCATTCATTTTAATCGTGTGTATTGTCTGTATTACCTCACGTTGTGCCAAAAGCTATTTCATTCCCTCGGTTCTCAGTCAGAAATTATTCTCTAACGTGGATGCTGCGACGCATTCCTTTGTCTGCCATTTACTTTTTAATTGTCACTTGACATTATTGTATACATGCGGCACTGGTGAACCTTGGGATGAAACAAGTGCATAAATGCTTTATTTTGTCTGTAATATCGGTGATATTATCGATATTTACTTCCACTTTTAATAAACCCTATTTACATGAATTATATTTACGTATATGCAATCTTACCTGTTATCAAAATCATTCAAGGTTAAACACACTCAACGTAGTTTCATAATTGCATATTATAATAACTATTACAGAATCATAGATGTACTGTTTTGTACACCCACTTGTACTTAATTTTTAAAATGAGAGAAATTCATATATGCGTATATGTTCAGGAAAGAGGTAATAACTATGATATGTGTATATTATATACATATATAGAGATATGTATATTATGGCCAATAGTCAATTTCAAAATATATACTGTAGCAAGTTGTAGTTTATTTACGTTAAAACACATCATTTTTGTAATTCCTTCGATAGCTCAGTTGGTAGAGCGGTGGACTGTAGTTGGTTGTTTTCCAGAGAGAGAAATCCATAGGTCGCTGGTTCGAATCCGGCTCGAAGGAAAAAATATTTTTTTCAAATTTCCTAAATCGTAATTCTCATGTTGCCTCTCTGTTTTCTTTTTTCTGTACTTTCTACTAATTTTATATTATAAATGGTAACATAATTTATTTAATAACGCAACGTTAAAAATTGGGGAAAAACAATTCATATGCCCGTGATGTTCGATGAATTCACATCTGTGTTCTTTGGACGCGATGTTCGTACATATTTGTTAACTGACGTAGAGCGTAACCACCATAATTGTTCTGTTTCGTGGGCCAAATACTTGCTGCCCTCTGGAAGTGCAGCTGCATAACATGCTGCACCGTGCGCGTATTTGGTGATAATGCAGTTTGCACTTTTTATCGCGAAACTCAATGTAATTCATTTTCCAATTGAACAACTGTATAATTTCATAATTTCAGTTTGAACTGAAATCAGATCCAGAACTTACGTAAATCGATCCAATACTTAATTCTTTTGCGCTGGAATAACGTGTCACGTACGTCGAGAATTTTTTGTTCCAAAATTGTAATACTTTCAGTTTTAAGTATATTTAAGTAAAAAAAAAAAAAAAAAGAAGTAGGCGAAACAGATAATAAATTTATTACTTCTCAATAATTTCTATCCAGCGATATCATACCGACGAAAAGAAAGCGACGAATTATCGTATATACGGTTCGGTCACTCGTTATGGTCCGCAATCAGTTGCCAGCGCAAGTGGTCAACTTTCAAGTACTTTGAATATCAAACGATACGCGAGCTACGATTCGCGTGTAATCTCGAAACTTTGATTCGAACTGCAATGAGCAGTCGTCGTTTAACAGGAAAGACGTAAATAAAAAAAATGCGCAGTCGATCGAGCGTGCCACGAAAGGAAAAAAGGGATTAATCTGCGTGACTGATCGAGCGGATCACTCGCGAGACGCGACACTGATACACCACCAACGGGGCTGCGTTCACGTTAATTTATCGCCGATCCGCTCTAATCGTCCTTGGTAATTTATTACTACTCTGTTCATATTTATTGGAAAGGGTGGCTGGTATGTATTGTGCGCGTGAAATTGCTTATATTGTTACCTGCTCGTGGGATGGCGATAAATTATTCACGCACGCGAAGATGTGATACCTGACGCGTCCCCGATAGATCAGAATTGTGGACGAACGTGATTTGATATGGTACTTTATGCCCCTGTGTTACGCGTGCTCTCTCTCTCTCTCTCTCTCTCTCTCTCTCTCGTGCATCGATCGCCAAAATTCTCCTCTTTACTGGGCAATCGTCGAACGCTGTGACGATTTTGAATTCAGATCTGGCCTTCTCAGTGGCGAGCGAGTTCTTCTTGAATTAGAATTTTTATGTTTCCGTTAGGAATTGGCAGAGAGTGATTTGTTTATCATACTCTCGATTGCGTGCATATGAGACTCGAGTTATCGAAAATCTTGCGCGATCATGTACGACTTTGAAGTCGGTAGAGTTAGCTATTAAGATGTTTGCCTCGGAGGGCTCAGAGTCTCTCTCCCGTCGTGTGTGGTAAGCTTAACATCCAAATCTCAGTCGTTCGCCATAAATATTTACACCAAAATTCCGCTAATTCTAATTAAATATTTATTCACTTGGTAATATGTATACCTAATATTGTCCCACGTACAGGTGCGGTAATAATCTTTTACGGCTCTACATAAATAGTCGTAAACGAGTTATTTCGATTGCTCTTTGAACGAGGAATCATGTAATTCGCATACCACGCACGGACGCGCTGGCGATATTTACGCGGCGATAAACCTTGCCTTGTTACTCGCGCAAAGACAATTATCAAATCGTTTTGGACCGAGTCGGTTCGTTCGGTCAAATATTTGCTGCCGGAATTTCGACGTTGGCCCAATCTGCCAACCATCAATGGTGGCCTAGCTCTTCGAACAACGATAATTGCCCGGTTTCGCGGCGGAGTGATCGTCTATCAACAAATTGCGAAATTTTCACTCGTAAGATGGAGGAAACTAAGAATCCTTAACTCCTTAAAATACTTAGTAAAATTGTTCGACGACCAGTTAACCCATTGCGGACCATAACGAGTGACCAAAACCCGTATACAATAATTCGTCGCTTTCTTTTTCTTTTGAACTCGTCGGTATGACATCACCGGATAGAAATGATTGAGAAGTAATAAATTTATTATCT